TACAGTAATATCATGTTTTTTAGGAGCAGACCTGTGTGTGGCCCTCTCCCCTCTTTAGGATGACTATTATTAGCACGGGGCCTGGCCAGCCCGAACTCAAATGGTGTGCAAGTCCGTTTGGTTACTGCAGGGCTATTTGGTAAGTCTGGGTGAATGCCCTTAAATAATCCTGCTGGCACTGGGTGTTGGAGAGCTTGAGACTTTAGAAATTTTTGGGTCAAATTTACTCTTGTTAAATAAACAATGAGTATTGATTAGATCATATGACAGACCAACAGAGCACTCTTTCAAATACTGCAACTCACTGGAGTTAATTTTTATGTATTTATGTTCTCAGAATCCCTTGAAATGGTTGCTTTGGTGAAAGACGTGCCAAGTCTTTTACTCCTGCAACTCTGTGTAATTTATACGCATGACCCTGTGCACACGGATAGAAGAATTTTTGAGGCTGCTCAAAGGATTTGGATGCTCACTTTGTTTGTTTTAGTTGGCGACTTGAATCCCTTAGGCAGATTTGAAAATCTCAGCCATAATTCTTTGCTTATTTTAGTACATTGGGATAAGACCCTGTTAAAATAATTTTAAGTGCTCCTTTTTTGCTGCTATAAAATAAAAATGTGTTTAAGTGGAATTTTAAGAAGTATTAGTTTTTCTAGACATATTAGTTTATTTTACTCATTTACTGTTTTTTTTACTGAGGAAACTCTTAAGTCACAGTCTGTCTATACTTTGTACTGAGTAGAGTAGCAAGGAGCTTGTCAGGACTAAACCTACACGTTTAAGAAGGCCTCTTATTATGATTATTTTTACAGCTTAAATGTCCTGGAAAAGTTTTCTCATCTTAAATCTCTCAGCAGCACGGTTACATATCTGGCCTCAAATGTATGTCAGGAGAACACCACATGGCCCTGCCAAGTGCAACACCGGCACGCACTCAGGTATTGGTTTGCAGCAGTGGGAAAAAAGCGAGGAGTGAAATCTGTAAACAGAGTTGAGTAGGTGAAAGGCTGCAGGGGCCGCGGGTGCTCTGTTTACGTGCGTCCCGAGCGGGAAGCTCTCATGTTGCACAGGCAGTTTTGTCCAGGCAGGAAGAGGAAAGCACAGGCTGTCTCATTTTTGCTTCCCAAGGCGGCTTGTTGCACCACTCTCCATATCTGGCAAGGTGCTGCGGGAAGCCTGGAGGAGCTGCTGCCGTGGGTGTTCCATCCCAGTGACCTCCCAGCTGCTCTGCTGCAAGTAAACCATCAACTGCCACCGTGGGGGAGGCCAGTGTGAGTAGTGGAAGCGGCTCTGGTCAGGTAGACACTTGCAGTGTTAGCAGGGCTACCCAGCACAGTTCTGGGCTGCACAGGGTCAGTGTTGTCTTTCTGAGCTGCCTGAGTGATGGAAGGAGGTGAGCTGATGCACTACCTTGTGCTGGAGCAGGCCTAAGTGTGGGGAAAACAAGTCCATCCTCAGACCTGACTTGGATCTCATTGCCACTCTTTAGGATTTGACTTCTGGTTTAGGGTGACATTTTCCAAGGAGAGGATTTCCTTGGGAATAACATGCTGAAATAAACAGAACTTGAGAATTTGCTTATTCTCAGAGTGAGCAAGGGACAGACTGTGCTTTAGGCACATACAAAGGAAGATGCTGAAAAGTTTTAGATGGGTTTTTGAACAATACCTTGCATTACTTCTGTGTGTTGTAATGCCATGGACCTCAGATTTTGTTTTGCTTGCAAGTGCTGGAAATGGTGCAGGTGTTTTGTGAAAGAAAATACTCACTTGTCCCCAGCAGTTTATTGAAGGTGCTTTCCCCACCATTTCCTCTTGGCTTCAAAAATGAGAGACAACAGATCAGACTCAGAGCCCTGGAAGGACCGCTTGCCCCACAGCTGTCCCTGTGACCAAAGGAGCTGAATATTCATGAGGAGCACCAGCACCTTCTCCTGCAGTCCTTTTTGGTTCTTTAATTGTAGCCAGGCACGTGGCCCCAGTGACGCTCAGGAGAGGAGCCTGTGGCCGTCCCGGATGTCTGTGGTCCCTGCTGTGGGTGTAAGCAGGGCAGGGCTTGCACTGCCAGGCTGAGGACATGCTCCCATTGCATGCTCACAAACATGCTGTGTTTTGACTTTAGTTGAACAGAAGTGGGCATGGAGCAGCCTGGAGGCATCATCCCTTCCCCAGGGCCCTGCTCCTTCTCTGCCTGCCGCAAGAGCAGCCCTGCATTGTGCCGGAGGAGAGTGTCCAGCAGCTCCGCTATGGGTGGGAGAACCCTGAGACTAGCTCACTTGGTTAGAACAGGGTGCTAATAACAAGGTGGAGGGTTCAATCCCCACATGGGTCATTCACTTAAGAGTTGGACTCAATGGTCCTTGTGAGTCCCTTCCAACTTGGAATATTCTGTGATACTGTGACAAGTCTCTGCTGTGGGCTGAAAGCACCTACCGCATGTGCAGGGAGGGACAGCTCATGGCTGCATCCATCATCCTTCAGGAGCGCTGGCAAGCATGGTTACTCATCTATAACTCATGCCAGCTCTGGAGGGGCCTGAAGGATGTTGAGGAATACACCTAGTGCCGGTAGCTGGGTGTGCAAGCTGCTCATTGTGCCCTGGGTGGGGGTAAATTGCTCACAGGAGCTGAGCCATGAATGGGTGCTGAGCCTTTCCCTGCACAGGGCGCTGTGGTGCCAGCTGGGTGGGGGTGGATGGTCACCCAGAGACTCCAAAGGGCCCAGTGAACAACAAGACCCCAGACCAAATATCACCATTGGACCAAGAGGTGTGTGCAAGGCATGTGAAGAGGGTGTGGGTAGACTGTGAGGGTAGAAAAGCCCAAGGATCTCCTTGCTGGAGGTCCCTCCCCACAGATACCGTCTCAAGCTGTTGTTGCTGTACCATGATTAAGATGCTTAAAGGAAGCAGATGTTTGAGATTCTGTTATGGGAAACCCAGGGTCCAGACAGAAACTGTGTCAGAGTGGTGTGTGTAGGGAGTCAAGGGAGGCACCCGTCATCTCACTGGAGCCACTCACTGCAAAGGGGCTTCAGTTTCAGCAGTTGAAGTTTGGGGTGATGCAAGTGAGACTCTCAGAGTGGCTCCTGAATGGTCAGACAGGAAAGTTCCCTTGACAGGGAGAGAGCAAACCACCATGTCACCTTCCTCCTTTGGGCACAGGACAGACTGTGAACCACAGCAAAAGGGCCTTTTAGAAATTTGTTGTGAAATCCCATGATCACTGATTTTAAAACATCTAACAGAAGCTGGAATCATTTAACAGGCCTGTCTCTGCTCATCCTATCCTGCCAGTTATAGGCAGCATAGACACTCTATGTGAATTACGGACGAGGTACCAAGCCAAACACTGTGCTTCCATCTGGAGCATTACAGTTCTGCTCCTTGTTGCTGAACCGGGCAAGAGACCCTTGTGCAGAAACTGAATTTCTTTGAAAAGTATTAACAAACTACTTAATGCTGAAACAATGCCTTCTGACTCGCTGTCAGAGCTGGTTTGAGTGAGCTTATTCCAGACCAGGCTGCTTTATATGTCATGGTGCATGTCCTCAGCTTCACCCTTCCATTGTGCACCTTAACTGAAACCCTCCTCCTGGGACTTGCAGTCATTCATTTGGAATTAAAAGTGAAACAAATCATCATTGATCTCATTTGTGGGAACAGTCAGCGTGAAGCTAGGAACTGTACTGGGTAAAGAAATAAGTGATTTATTGAATGTTCTGGGCATGTGCCGCAGAAGTGTCCCAAAGCCCAGCACTGTGTGTGTAAAACACAGGTGCAAATAGAGAGCTTTCAAGATAACATGTTTTAAGGTGAAGTTGCTACAGTATGAGACAAACCCCAGAAGCTTGAAGGCACAACCTCAGTCTGAGTTTGGTGGATTGTAAGTAGTCACTGGAAAGGCAAAAGAAGCTCACAGATAGAAATAAAATGTGATCATATGGGAACAGGCAGGTGTAGCGAGCCCAGCCGTGCCCTCTCCATGCCCAGAGCAGCATGCCAGGCAGACAGGCTGTCCATGGCACAGGGAGCCTGCACCAGCTTCTGGGAAACCCAGTGCTGCTGGTGGAGAAGGTGCCATAATGAACTGTGGAGGCTGTGGTGTGACAGGGTACTCCAGTGGCACCACATCCCCTCTTTCCTCTCCCTGCTGTCCCTGTCATGTCCTAAGTGGTCTCCTGCTGTGCCCTGGCAGGTGCATGGCTCTGGCTGGTGGGTGTGGAGGACATGGGGGGCCTGGATGGCTGTGGCTGCAGTACTGGGCCCCAGCATGTGGCTGTCTGAATTCCTGCACCATCTCATCCTGGGGGCTTTAGTTCTCAGTGAGCGCACATTGGGGCCCTTGGCACGTGAGACAGAGGTACCTCCTCTGAAACTTCCCTAGCTCTGGCATCCTCCAGGCACAGGGGGCAGGACTTTGTTCCTGCTCAAACTGCATCCAATGTGGTTGCCAGTGACTGCTTGGGCCAGGAGCAGCTTTGTATGGCTGTGCAGGGCTGGTGCCCAGAGCCACAGCCCTATGTGCCTGCCCTCAGGGGATTGGCACCAGCAGGTCGAGTCCTGAGCACTGAGGTCTGGAGCCAGACCTATGTGTGAGCAGTGGGCTGCAGGACTTTATGTGCCTGCCCTTTTGATTCTAGGCTGCAGGTGACTCGTCTTGACTTGCTAACAGCCTTGTTGGAGGTTTGAAATTACTGAACCCCACAGGAATGCCCGAGCAGGTGTCATCCTTCAAGGTCTTAGGCTCAGTGGACAGCAGCTGCACCCCAACCATGCAGGCAGAGCAGCAGCAGCCCATGGAGGTGGGTGTGTGCCATGGGCACAGCGGGGCTGGGGCTGTGGGCTGCCTGCCACCACTGGAAAGAGGCTCCAGCCGTTTGGCAGCACCAGCAGTGGGAGAGCCCCTGCTCCAGGAAGGTTGCAAAATGGATTTGGCAGAAGCAGCAGCACAGCGTGCTAAATGTGCTAAGCTAAACCAGCTTTGCTCTGCGGATTGGGGGTTTTTTTAATCACAAGCCTCCAAACAAAACGCTGCTTTGGGGGCTGAGCTGAAGCTGGGAATCCCTCTTCTGTTCCTGCCTTTCCGCTGCTTGTGGCAGCGCCGGCACTCCCGACTTGTCCATACCCCTCGCAGTATCTCACATGGCCCCTACAGCCACTGCAGCAGCACTGTGGAAAAATTCACTGTGTCTCCATAGAACTTGGGTCAATAGTCCCAAGGGATGAAGGGCTGAGACTGCCAGGGCAGCAGTGGCCAAGCCAGTGCCCCCAGCCTGACACCCTGGAGCCTCAGGGGCTCTCCCTGTGGGGCTGTCCATGCAGTGGGGACTCCCTTAACCCTTCTGGAGGGTGTTTTAAAAGCAAACATTGCAAAGCGTGTCCTGGTCTTCCTCTAGCTAGTGGGGGAAAAAAGAATACCCTGGAAATCTATTCTGGTCTTGTGTGCGTCTCAAGTGGAAAATTTCAGCTGTACTGATTTCGGCTGGCGGGGTTAAGGGAGGTGAGGCCCAGCTGCCGCTGGCTCTGCAGCAGGGAGGGCCGGCCGGCTCCGCACGCACCCGTCCCTGCCACGCGGGCAGGGCTGGGGCTGGCAGCGACTCCACGGGGAGAAAGGAAACGTGAACTCAGGGGAGCGCAGGGGGTACCCAGCCTTAAAGCAGCGTGGCAGCTGCCGCCGCTGTTACACCTTCCAGTCCCCAGCTATCCGGGTGCTGAGGGCTGCCTGTCCGTCTTGTCCCCTGTCCCCTAGCTGCAGTCACTCCTCTCGGTGCAGCCCATGGAGGGGGTGTAGCGGCAGGAATGTTGGGTGCGGTGGCTGACGGGGCCAATCCCGGTCCTGCAGGAATAACATGAAGCGTGTCACCAACCCTGCTGACGGCACAGGCCTTGAGCACTGGCCTTGAAATCGTGCCAGGGCAGCTCACCTCGTGCGAGGGACTGCGGCGTGGAGCCGGCGGGAGAGAGCGCCTCGGGGTCAGGCACAGGGGGAGAAGGAGGTGGCTCCTCAGCCTTCCCGTCAGTGCCGGTGTCCCGGGACATGCACTTTGGGACTGAGAGCTGGCTGGGAACTTGCCGTTGAGGCGTTTGTTGTTGGCAAATACTAGTATTTTGTTGAAATTGAAACTTTTAATGGTAATGTTCGTGTGTCTGTGAGGAGACCGAGTCCCCTGGTCCTATGTCTCAGAGTCTATCTCCCACCTCTGCCCTCCAGCTGGTACTAGAATGGGTAGGTTAGTCCCCATCCCCATGTGGAACAGGGAGGTCTTTGAGCTGTCTGGGGATCCAAGAGGAATGGCTTTTCCGGCCAGTCCTGCTCATGTAACCTGCTAACAGAGCTCCAGCAGCACTCAGCCAGGGTGGTGGCACAGCTCAAACTGGAAGGAGGGTTTATGATCCGGTGTCACAGGATCACAGGATAATTCTGTGGGAAAGGGGCCCCGGGAGGCCTCCGGTCCAGCCACTGGCTCTGGGCAGGTTCAGCCATTAGGTCAGACCGGGCTGCCCAGGTCTTCATTCCGTCGGGGCTGGAAAAGCCTGCGGGAAAGGATCCCGACAGCCTGTCTGCGCAGGCCCTGGCACTGCCTAACGCATCCGGACGGCTTCCCCCGTCTGCATTTCCAGGGGCATTTGAGGAGCGCGTTGGGCAGTGACGTGGCGGCTCGGGCCGTGTCCCTTGAGGCCGTGAGTCCCCGCGCGCCCAGCCCCGCGCCGGGACACGGGACCGGCCGGGACACGGCCCTGGGATGGGGCGGGGAGAACGGGGCAGGGCTTCCCCTCCGCCCCCGCCACAGCGGCCCCGGGCGGGCGCTGGAGCTCCCTGCTGGCCGCGGGACCGCCCGGCGCTGCCAGAGCTACGGCGGCCGCCTGAGGAAGCGGGAGCGGCTGAGGCGGCTTCGCTGCTTCCAAGCAGCAATACCCGCGTTGGGGCTCACTCAGTATTACTATTCCTGTTGTTCCAATGGGGAATTAGTGGGAGGAGGGTGTCAGAGCACAGTGCTGGAGCCCATCACTTCTGCTCACATAAACGCTGCTGCCCGGTACAGCCCTCTGCCGCCTCTGCATTCCCCGAACTGGCCGCAGCGAGCGAGGGACGAGTGAATTGTACTGCACAGCTCCCACCTTCACAGCAGGGATTTCCATTAGAGAGGTGTAATAAACTTATGACACAAATAGCTGAGTAGTTTTCTTAATGGGATGAAGAAGGGGCATGGTCAGAGGCTGTACAGTTGAGTAAAATACTACAATCGGGATCTAAAATCATGCAGATAACTCAAGTAAATCAAATTCTTGAGCCTGACATAGTTTTCCCTCCCATTTTTGACTGAAACCAAGTAGCTGCCCTAGTTGACATAGTACAGTAGGACATGCATTATTACATGATACACACCACTGTGTGGTCCGCACTACTGCCCACTCCAGCATTTCAATCAGAGAACATTAAAATAAAGTATTATATTCAACTGAACTTATAGGAAGCAGCAGATCAGAGTGAAGGGGGTGGGGACCAGCTCCTGCTGCCACATCCCAGTTCAGGCTGGCTTTGCCCTACAAAGCCAAGAGGGTAATCCTATTAATGCCCCTAATTCAGCTCAAAGACTGTGCAGCTGCAAAAAGCTGAAAATGTAAAGTGAGAGAAAGCTTGTTACTCCAAGCACAATAGGGCCTGTAATAGGGTAGGTCCCCACCAGTCCCACCCCTGCGGAGCAGACAGGTTCTTCGGGAACAGCCCCGGTGCCAGAGCCCTCCACTCCCCTCAGCAGCGTATGCTGTGGGGCAGGGGCTGCTGGCAGTAATGGATTATGCTTTTCCTTAAACCTCAGGGCAAGTACTTGATGCACACAACACTCACATATTAAAGTTGTAAATAGTAGTGAACTGTTGTAGTGAATTACATGCCCCTACTTCCTTGAAACTTTAATAAAGGGAGGAAATAAGAGCTCAGAGAATGAGCTAGAAGCCTGCAGTCAGCACAGTGCTTCCAGCACAAAGAAAAATTAAATGTGTGATGTCTAATACCTTTCTGTAGCACACAGAGCAGTCACAGAAACAATTTTTTTCCTTCGGTTATGATCAGGCCAGGTAAACTATCCTTGGCACGTACCCTGTTTCTTCTCCTGGCTCCTTGCAGCCAGCACCCATGGTGGGTAGAGCACAACAGACCCCCTCCTTTGGGCAGCCCCTGCCAGCCTGCTGCTCCTTGGGGCTGCATTTGCTTTCCAGCTGTTGTCCAAAGCCTTGGCAAAGCCCCAAGAGCATCCCCCCTCCTCATGGAAGAGGAGACTCAAGGTACAGTCCCTGGTCAGCAAAGGCAGTTACCCAGCTATCAAGGATTAAAAGGTTGTGGTTTTTTCCTCACACGGTAAGTTTTGAGGGTTTTTTTTTAGAAAAGAAAAAATAAAGCAGGCTTCAAACCTGAAACATCTCCACCCCATCTAAAAAAAAAAACAACAACAAAAAAACTCCCAAAACAACCCGAAAAAGCAGAATGAAGAATACATAGGAAGTGGCAACACATCGGTGGATCCAGGGCACCCACTTTTATTCTGATCCAAATGCAAGCCAGCTGTGCAGCTGCTCAGGCACAACAAAAAGCTGGAACCATTTTCCCGTTCCTGAGGAAGTAACTGACACCACCAGTACCACCAGTCTGGGGCCACAACCCTGGATCTTCCTTGGGAAACAAGGCAGGCTGAAGGGCTGTCTCAGGGAAGCTTTCAGGCCAAAGCAGCTGGGGGGTGTTTGCCATGCACAACCAGCAACGGCAAACAGGAGGGGCTGCAGCTGTCTAGGGAGCACGACAGAACCACATTAGTTCCAAGTACTACATAGAAATCATCCAGCTTTCATATTTTGTAAAAATTCCGAACTGCAGTTACAGTATGAATAGTAGCACTTAGCAAATCAAACTGAAATACATACTGTGTTCAGACTCCAGGTTGGCTTTAATGGCAGACTGTCTTCAAGTACAGTGAGTATTTCTGTTCTGACCACCACATCATTCAGAGAGAAACTTTTTTCAACTGATCTGTAAGTTAACATAAAATAACTCTCTTTAAGACTGCATGACAGAATCCTGTTGAGTTCTCATCTTAGGCAACTGTAACTTGTATTTAGTTGAAAACCATGCAGCAATCTGTCTTGTCTAGAGAAAAACCTCGACAGGTAGACTGCAGTCCATACCACTTCTTGACACATAGGGACAGTTAGTAACCTCAGGTTAAAAACAAACAAACAGAAAACCAACCCAAAACACAGGTTTCCCCACTATCATTATTTACTCCCTTTCCTACTTCCACATTTAATTACAGTAATAAATATTTCTTAGACTGCATCTTCAAAAACATAAGCCATTTTGTACACTTAGATGGCCTCTATTCTCACAAGTCCAAATTGAGAATTTTCTTAAATTTCAAGTAAAAGCTCATCAAGTTCTATAAAAATCTTTTTAACAGAAGTTAAAATTTCCTACCAGCTGGCACTTGTGTAAGATACACTTGCAACCCAAGGGTAGAAATTTTTCCTCCAACTAAAGGGTTTTAAAAAGTCTGACTTAAGGATCCAGATCTCAGTGCATCGTTTCTGACAATCCTCCTCCTCTTTCCCCCAGTTTTCAAGACAGGAAAGTTAAAATAAGAAAGTAAGGACCTTGAAGAAATCAAGAGGCTCCAGTAACGCAATACAGAAATTATGACCAGTTCATTACTCGATGCAGTTGGCACAAGTACTTGCAGCAGTCTGCTCTACCTTTACATTGTGGATATACCTAAATGAAATCCAGTGCAAGAAAGCATTGAGGTTTCTGAAGACTTGTGCAGCCATTCCCTTAGGAGTCAGCACTATACAGAACTAGCTGAAGTTGAAAGTTAAGATTTTTCAAATAAACACCATTAAAAAAAAAGGAGCCAAAGGTTCTGTGACAACGTGCAGAGTTGGACTAACCCATGCTGACTCAGGGCACTGCATGCACACGAGCTAAAAGACTAAACCTCTTCTGTGCACACCCATGCCTAGTGCAGGTTTGCTGTTTGGTGTTAAGAACTGAATCTAAGGTCATGCTCTAAAAACACCACAAATCGCATTTTAGCCTTCCAGCAACTTACATGACTTTCACCTCATACAGATTTATCAATCTTAAAATTTTACTGTTTAACAAAAAGCTGAACCTAGAGAAAAGAAGGCTTCTCAATGCAATCACGTATACATCTATTTTATAGCTACCTGCCTAGTCCCTCCCAAAGTTAGCCTGAAAAACAGTAAAATCTACACAAAGTTTTATTGCAATCATACAAGGGATACATCAAGGGTCAAATACAACAAATACTATGATGCAATTTTACATTTATTAAACTACAGTTCAAAGCACAAATTTACACATTCTAAATACACTAAAACATCTAATGAAGTCACACTGGTCTCCCACTGACATTTGATATATCTGGGCGAAAGACAATAACTTTACAAGACTTTTCTAACAGGAATCCTTAGTATAAAAACTGTGTACTTGTATGTAAACTGTTGAAGAACCCAAGTGATGGGTTTCCATCTCCACTAAGTCATCCATTTTGTTGCATATTTAACGCTCAGGGGTTGAATGAACTTGATTTTAAATTTGGACGCCATTATCTAACCCTCCCACCCCCCACTGAATTGTAGCTGTAGCTTGTTTTGCCTGGTCCCCATTAGCTATTACTATTTTTTCAAGTTTTGAAGAGAATGAATTGAATTCAAGATTGTTCCATTTCTTCCACACTGGAATGTTGACCAGACAAACTACAGACTTGCAACTGCAGGTCTAAATGAAGCGTTAATGCCTGTTTAAGCTGCAGTGGAAAAGCGGTCTTCCGGGCTCAGCTGAATGCAAGAAGGCACAAAGAAGAAGTTCTTCATCAATGTGTCTGAAGCAATTCCAGCGTCTTGCATCTCATCCCTGCAGCAGAGAAGGTTGAGAGTTGTAATAACATTTTCAGGTACAACTTCACATCAGAAACCAGCCTCAATACAGCACTTGAAGCCAAGTGCCCCTGCACAGCTTGGCCCGAGCCTTGGCAGGAGGGAGACCAGCTGTGCCAGTGCTTGGCAGACACAGAAATGCCCCCACTCTCCACAGGCACAGCACAGGTTCCTGCCTACCTCGGCACAGAAACAGGTTATCAAACTCACCATCACCACAACAGCATTACTGCCCTTTCTGCCTGCAGTGATGGTGCCAATATTATACACAAGCTGCAGTTACTGGTGCTAGGAAAGCTCAAAGGTTGATGTCAAACAGGAAAAGGCTTTACACCTACCACTGAACTCACAGGAGAGATTAGGTATTTTGCTTTCCTTTGTCATCCTTAAAGCAAAGTAGGTTTTATCACAGCTCTCAGTTTGGTCTTAGGAAAGTCAGAAAATAGAGAAAAAAAAAAAAATCCACAAACTAAAAAGGCACATTCTTGCATTTTCCTGCATTTGCCATTGAATATAATTTATATTTGGCTGTAAGTATACACTCCTGAAGGAAGAAAAAGCAATCTCAACACTACCAAGACAGTTTTCTTACCAGTCACTGAAAGACATCATGTAGTAAATCAGTGGCCTCTGATAGTCGTTAAAGGTAGACTGTTCACCTAAGGTACCAGAACCCATGTTATCAAAGATCAGCCAATCTCCAACGCTCAACTCAGGAAGAAGACAGTTTTCCACAATTTGATCAAGCTCATCACAGGATGGACCCCAAAGGCTGCTTGCAAAGAGAGGCTCATCGTCCTTGTATTTCTGTATGGAAATGATCAAGTTAATTCAGGCTTCAGTTTATTAAGTAAGAAAATTTTCAAATATAGAGGATAATTTAGTAAGTAATATGTAATTATATATATGTAAAACTTTGTACATATATTAAATAGAAAAGGATAAGGACTATCTCTGAAGAATATGGAAAGACTCACCTTGTGAACCTCTGGGATAGTATTCAGTTTCTCAGACAATTTACTCGCAAAAGAACCATAAACACCATCATTTATGTAATATGTAAATACTGGTTCATCATCATTCCTGGTTTGCTCCACTGGAAGTAAAAAAAGAAGTTGTCTTGCATGCATAAGTAGTCCTTTTGCAATCTAACTTAAGTCATCTGCTTTTTCCTGACAAGGGGTTCCATATACACTGGAATGGGAGAATTACAAGTATAATAATCTGCATGAGACCAGATTATAACTGCAGTTATAACTTTAAATGTGAGGCTTAATAAAATTAATACTTTCAGTAATAATCACTGCTAAGAATACAAGTCCAGAGAAGCAGTTTGCTCGGTGACATGGCTTTTCTTATGTTCTTCTAATACACAACCTTCTAACACACCACCTGTGAAGTACCCAATAGAGGTTTAACCACTGAGAAGCCAAACCCAGTAAGAATACAAGTACCACCACATAAAAATAACAGTGATATACACAGATAACATATGGTCAGAACCTGGAAGGCAGAAGGATAGGGGAATGCATTAAATATATGCTGAGACAAACTAGTCTGTCCCAACTCATAGTGGGCAGTTACACGTACTGATTCATAACAGACACTATAAATCCAACCCTTACCTCCAGAAGGAAGAAGTTTATCATACTCAACAGTCTTCTTTGCAATGATGTTCACTGCCAGCGTAAATGCAGATGAAACATAGTAACATCCAGGCTCTGCAATCACATTAACACCAGATTCCTTAGGAAAGTAGACATCCAGCAATGGCCTGATGACATGATTAACCTAGGAAATTGAAATCAGAGGTAAGACCAATGAACTCAGCTTATGGATATATCAGATACACAACCACTTGCAGTCAGCAACTGTCAGTTCCAGTCAGCACACCAAATGGTTACTCTGGTCCTCTATTCTCTGAGAAGTGCCTTTACTGGAGGTCCACAATATATAGAAAAGATTTAAGAAAACTGGTCATTCGTACACTCAAGGCTGCAGCAGTAATTTCAACATCTGTCCAGCACAACAGATAATGTAAAATTACATACAAACCCAGAACAACAAGAAAAGGGTCTTTCTGTGATCAGTTCTGAATAGTGTCACATTAGAAACAGAATTCATTATCTAATACTGATGCTCATATGTTAAGCCACATATTGGAAAATAGCAGGTATTTTAGACAAGTAACAGAACTGTGAGAACTAAGAAAGAAAGGCCCTGTTTGCTGTTAGTAACTTCTCACTGCATCACTTCTACTGTCCTGCCTTCAAGGAGTTTGTCTCTAAGACAACATAGCAGTGAAAACAGGTGATCCTGTTTTATGTGCCATTGCATACTAAAGATGGCATTTAGGCCAAATCAGAGGCTAGCCAAAGCAAAGACAAAACCAAGACCTTTAGCCTTTAGTTCTAAAGCAAAATACCAGAAGTTTTCATCCAGCAGAAAAAGAGTTTATGATCCAAAGCATGCTAAGCTACCCTGGTCCAAACCATGCAACAGTCATCAGTTGGACAACCACAGTCAGCTGCCAAAAAACTTGAATTACTACTGCTAAGGTTGCTTTGGGTAGTAACTTAAATCTGTAACATGCTTAAATCAGCATTAACCCAGTGTGAACAGGATTAAAAGAAATAATCACCTCCAAGGACTGATTACACTATCCATGATAAAGAAAACAAACCCAACTATTTGGGTCTTATGAATTACAGTCTAACATGGAATTTAGATTAGGTTTCAGCTATCAATGTTAGTTGCAGTTTGAAGGTAAACACTTATTCAAAATTAAGAGTTTCAACTTCCAAAATATTGCATACCTCTTCCAGCTGAAGTTCTGAGCCTGTGAAGCCCCCACCAATATCCAACATGTTCATCTTAAAGCCAAATTCTTCCTAAAATGCATAAGCAGAATGTAAGTACACGAACAACTAACTGCAAAAATATTTGTTGCTCCTTACTGTGGTTGTTTTCTATGTATTTATACTTTTGAACATATTTAGCAGAGTATGTCTAGTGAGGGAGTAAGGGCATAGTACAGCTCCATTAAATCTCATAGCAACAGCATTGGGATGTCAAGAGTGGCTGGTTACACAATTCTCTGCAAGTCCCACAGTAACATCAACTCCCATCTTGTGGCTTCTGTTATATTCAGACAGTATTTGCTGAACAGGGTGGTGCATTCTGACAAAAGACAGTTTTAGGAATTCAGTGTAGCAGTCTTGTCATGTAATTTGCGAATTTGCACAAAGATCAGCAAGATTCTCAATTTTATTGCCCCCATCTGTGCATTACCAGTCACAGCTAATGCACTAACTGCAGTAATAGGAGTCTTCTCTGTTTAGTTCACAAGCTTCTCATACCACAATAAATGCCAGCATATGATTGTTCAATATTTTAGCCTAACAAAAATGTCAGCTACATATTTGCAGGACAGATTTGAATGTTAAAAAGCCTTTACCAAAACTGGGAAACTAATTTTTAATTTGAAAACAGCATATAAGGCTACTGCCTGTCAGTGGGAAGTATTCCTTAACCTTTGTCCACAATTAGTACATAAAATTTGTTTTACCACTACCACATCTCACAATGGAGTATTTGGTCCCTTACTACAAGTTCCATCTCCTACTATGGATTTATTTTGGAAACAATGTAGTTGGCTTGCTAACATGATTAGAAGAGGTCTTCTACTGTACCAATTGCATGTGTGTATAGATCTACTTACAGCCATGTCAAACACACACCGGGCATCAGATATAGCATGAATGTATGTTTGCAGATCCTTGCAAGAGCCTGAAACATGAAATCTGAAAGAAATAAAACCAAAATTAATACACTGAACCATATAAGCTTTCAGACCAAATTGTTTCACCATGTAAAACACAAATGGAAGCAACTGATTCCCAAGTGGCTCAAAATAAGCTTGCATGATAATAGAGCAACTGTGCAAAGAATAAGGTCAGGAACTATTGCCTTCTATTCCACTGGATTTCTACTTGAGACCTGTCTTGCTCTTAATGTATAAGAATGTCCCACAATATTCTCATCTTTAGGAAATAACATTTACCGAACTTTTCAGTCTTCACTATCAAAGTGTCTAAAACTTGTTCTTCAGTGGGTGCCAATGGTGCAGAGAAGTCCTGATGCCTCCCACAAGCTCTTGAATCCCCTCTGATTCCATGCCCAAAAGGTTTAAGTACTGCCATATGTAGTTAGTCACTGAGATGCTAAAACCAGTGCCAACATGTCCCATGAGCTTCCTCAAGAGGAACATGGCTAACTGGTTCTTGACAGACCACAAACACATCTATCTGTACCACAATGCTTGCTACTCCAAGTCTACTCCTCTAAGGAATGCCACTTTGAGGTAAAGGTCCCTTTTCAAACTTATTTGTATGAATCCACATTTCTTTAAAATAAAAATAACACACAAGAGCCATATGATTTTTGTTAAAGTTGGTTAAGGCACTATAAGAGGCGGCACATTTTCTCAGTAGTATCCTCTACTATTTTAGTTTACATTTGTCATTTGTAATGATTACAGTATGTTTATGCTTTAACATCAATTTCAAACAGATATACATCAAAACAATTGTGGTTTAAATCATCAAGATCTGGCTTAAATTTTCTTTTTTTTACTGTCTCAATGACCCACCCTGTTTTATTCGTTTGGTTGCTTTCCTAAAACATTCATGAGTATTTGATACATTAGTAGCTGAGGGCAGACAGAATAATGCATGTATTTTTCTTCCATATAGTAAAATATCTGTCAAAATTCCAACTAAAATATCACAGATCATTTGAAAGATCTCAGAACACTAGGATTCATTCCTGCCACGAGCAAGTCAAAAACTTAGGTATTTTGTCTTGATACAAGCAGAGTGACAGAGGACCCTAACTTTCAGAAAAACCAACCCCATGTTGATCTTGTTCAAACTCTATCCAACCTATTCCATGCTATACTAGCTCTTATCCGATATGCTGCTTATTGCTGGAAAAATACAAATCAAGTTACCACAGAAATTCAAGAGTACAGTCAGAGAATAGGAGAGGCTTCTAAACTTAGTTTTCATGCTGACAGAGGATTTCTGATGCGCCATTTAAAATTGGTTTGATGTCTGTAAATGTTACTTTAATACTAGTTTTTGCTTTTATATTAGCACTTTGCTTGCAAGCAGAAACTCATGATTCAAAGTTAGTTTGTTTTTTTGGGGGTTTTGTTGCCTTGTATTTTTAACCCTGGAAAACAGTGTCAAAGAGGGAAAAAACTATTTTCTATTCTACATCTTGAGTACATTGTACAAACGTCTGCTCAGCCAGCAGAGAACAAAGAAGTTACTCACTTGACACCAATTACTTGAACTCCCAGCTCCTTAGCACATTCCATGAGGTGCCTACAGTTCTTCAGGGTGGTGCCAAACTTCATATTCATCTCCTCATCAGCATTAATGTCTTCTGTGGCAATGTGCAGTAAGAGCCTAAGAGAAGGGGAAGATGATTGGGGCAGTTGGTTTACATCATCAGCACATGTGAAGCCTGAAGACTGTCAGAAGTGTGTTGATTATGTTGTCAATACTCCAGCTCCATCGATGGATGAATCAAGGAAACCTAATAAAAACAATCCTGTACAGAGAAAAAACTAGCAATTAGGGGCTAAAACATGGAGCCAACAAGGACAAGGGATTTCGAAATGCAGCAACTAAGACTCTAGTAGCAGCAAGAGTCTGTTGAGTGCTGTAATAAAAGAGAATGTTACCTTCTAATAAAGTACAGTTCCTTATAAAACCAGTAAGACTGTAATATGATTTTTTTCCCATCTCTGACCTCCTTCCTAGCCAAGAGGAGAATGTGGAGATTACCCTTAGGTCAGCCACGTATCATATTTAGTTTAATTCAGCAACTAGAGAACACCAGGCTGACACACCAGCCATATCCCTCCACCTCCTCTTCTGACTGAGCACATGGACTGGGGATGGGGTAGGGATGTCAGTCCATTCCCTGCCCCTTCTTCCAGGACAGTGTGGAGCAGAGAGGAAGCAAGTACCATCTCTTACATTCTTATGCAGTGAGACATCTTCCTCCCTCCAGTGAAAGCCTCATCCTGGGTATGTCTGGCAAACTGCAGTGCCAGTGCTGACAGTTTTCTATATTAAATTAACTCTTGAGTGGCAAAGGCATGTCCGCATCAAAACCTCTAGAGGTATACCCCCAAAACTCACCAATTCAAACTGCTGTCCACTAAGGCAGTCACCCCCACACCGCAAAAGATCAGTTAGTTAGTCATGCAGTAAAGTGAAGTTGTCACAACACACATGCACACATGACAGACTGCACAGAGCAGTTAACCAGGGTGGGGAGCACAAACAAGCAGCAGAAGCTCTGCAGTCAAAGTGAAATAGCTCTTTTTAAGACATGCAACAAACAGAACTCAGCCTAGCCACTGCAGAACACATGTTGGCCTAACAACCACCCATGACTTCTACAAGTCCTTTCCAAATGTCTTATGAGGTGTTTAAAATGCATTTTGTAAACAGCAACAAAATCCTAAATTCTCACACTGGTTGCCCAGCAATCCTTGTTAATTTTAATTTATACAATTTCATCTTGGGAAACTGTGACCAGCCTTTCATTTCCTACTTCTCCACTAGCACAGACAATTCTGCTCAAGAAACTGTAGTCCAACAATATTTTGTAAAGCATTTGGAAAAGTGTGTAGCTGTAACAAAAAATTGCTACAAGTTAAAGAGTTTAACTTCTTGAAATGTAAAAAAAAAAAAAAGGTCCATAATATTATGGTTTGTAACCTCACATTAAGATTAGTCAAAACCCCTTTTTAAAAAGACATCCAATGTTAAATTTCATTGATTAAACAGTTATGGCAGCACTCCAAGTGAATCAAGTTACTTTTTTAGCACGAACCACTGAAAAAAATGTAATTCTGACTTCTAGAAATCTAGTAGGATTCTTCTTCCTGGGTTTCAGCCAGTCAGAGCAGGGCTAGAGAGTGATATGTTTAGGGTTTGGGGTTTTTTATTTTTAAAGAAGCATTTTCTTTTACCAGCCTTGCCTCTGCTGAAGCTCTTAGGACAGCAAGAACCTTATCAGCTAAACTTTGCCTGGAAAAACCTAAAGGTATAAAGAAATGCAATGCTAAGCACTCCTTTCTGACATCTCTTCTTCCTTTAAAAAAAATTGCAATCATTCCAGTGACTAAGACTTTGAAAGGCAGAAACATCAGTTACAAAAGAAGACCCACCCATTACCAAGTTTAGTGCAAAGTTACAGATTTTAAGAAAGTGAAAAGGAGAATCACATCTTTCTAAATACTGTTTCCTCAGCCAAAGCATATTGGCTTCATCTATGCAAGCATAATCCAGCTCTAAGAACCACACACAGGAAGAACAAGGCTATACAGTGGCTTTGACTTCTTGAACTATGCCAAGGAAGAGAAAGAAAACTCATTGTCACTTCAGCATCAACATTAAAATGACCTGAATAAGGTAATTCTAATAAAATGAGAAAAAAGCACTTCTGTCCAATGAGAAATCAGACCTCTAGGAAATTTATGACAGCAAATTGCAGTTCTTTTGTAGAAATTGAGCTTCTTGTCCTTGTTAAATGGGAATTTTTGCAAGTATTAGACTATGGGCTCCTTGAAAAGAAGTAAAGAGTCTGTTGTTTTTCTGTAGCTTATGTTCTGCCTCCCCACTTCACAGTTTCTCTGGCTCAAGAAAAGTAGGTATCCTAACTTCTCTTGCTGTGGATGTTACCATAGACAAGCTTTTCTGAAGTCAGCTGTTAGAATCATGGAAATAAATCAACATGAAAACTAACAAAACACTAAATGCACCAGTGAATAAATGGTAAAGCACTACCAATGTAAGAGTCAGCTTAAGCATTGCCAAGGCTTTCAAATGCACCAAGTATGCCAAGGCCAGCACTTTACAGAAAAAAATCATTTATCATACATTTAACACTTTGCACAGGAAGTCCTCTCCAGTATGCAAAGCACTGACAGGCTTCCCTGAGGTTTAAGTGTAATCACTAGCAACAGCAATATTAACAGCAATATTAAATCTTGAGGTAGTCTTGAACAACTGAAACTCCCCCAAATAAAAACCCTGTCCTCCCCACCCCCCCCCAAAAAACCACCCCAACCCCCCCAAAAAAACCAACTAGGTGACATGACCAGAGTCTTCAGATTCTGAATTTAGTAGAATCTTCCCAATTCTACAACTATGGTCTCAGTTTTGGGAGAAGATATAACAGTTTAATAATGACTGTTTAGAACCAAGGGCTTTGTAAAGGATGACAGGAATTCAGTTTCTCCAATGATATTTGTGGGAAGCTATACCCCATTAATCACTGGAAAGGACTGTAACATTCACTTGGGCTCTGACTCCAAATTACTTAAAGGTATGGCCCATAGCCACAGTATTCATATGTGAGGGATGTGATGTTTAATGACTGGAGTGCCCATCAGTCCAAGAGACCATGACACATTGGCAGCAATAAAATTCTCATATTTAACAACTAGAATATCAGCTTTAATCACTTCTTTACAGAAAACAGCTGAGCTAATACTGAAGTGACTGAAAATAGAACTGGAGTCAAATTTCTCACTGCTTTAGCGGTGCAGAAACACTCGCAGGTGTATGTAATAGAGTTGCAGAGTGTACCCGAACCTAAGATGGGATCCAGAGCACATGGGCATTTGCTGATAGTCTCAGCCCTGACTTCAGTTGGAGCCACTACTATCCAAACAGAACTTCCTGAAAAATAACAGTGAAGCCACAACAGAGCAGGAGGAAGATGTACTTGCAGATGATGAAATGCCAGACTTCTAAACTTTAACCACTGAAACCTTTACATCAAGGCTGCCCTATGAAATCAGTTTCTCCCAAGATTTCTCCCAAAACAAGGGCCTTACTATTATATGAGGAAGTTGAGACCCAGTAGGGAAAGCTGCAAAAAAAGCTACCTTCAAAGGAGACAAAGAGAGGAGAAAACCCGATACAAGTGATTTATATCAAAGAAGCCATGTACTTGCTTGCAAATCAAACAACCCAGAACACAGGCAAAATTAAGTCTCCCCCATATTAAAAGCAAAGCCGGAATTGACACTTACTTGGCATTTGGATGATTACGTGAAATTTTCTTCAGCTCAATATCATTGTCACAAGTCATGATGTTTATCCCAGCTTTCGCTGCATACTTGAGCTGAGAAGCTTGCTTGCAAGGATTTGTATATATGATGTTTTCAGGAGAAATGCCCAAGTCTTGTACCAATGCCATTTCAGACTGAAAAAAACAGGAGAATACCAGAGCTTGACAAAGTCCAGTGCATTATCTTTCCTGAATTTTTAATAGATGTCCTCTACTACCCCACAAAGAAAAAACTATCCACTCTTTCTAGGGCAGAAGCATAGATTTTCAATGGCCAGTTACAAAGGAGTTCACAAATTATATTATTTATAATCATGGAACTTAACACCAAAAAGATGATTTTAAAACAGCAGGCATATGGAAGAAAATAAGGCACACAGATAAGAAAAACTTACTTTACTGGAACATGCAAAACCAATGCCAAGGGTTCCCAGAATTTCGAGTACACCTGGAGTAGAATTGCATCTTACAGGATAAAATGGCTTTATTGGTGCCATCACGTTCTGCCACTGTATGTTATTCCTTACAAGCTTTCCAAGATCACCAACATAAAATGCCTTTTTTCCAGTCTGAAAAAGGAAGAATAGGAAAATAAAATGTCTGAAATTGTGGGTTTGCTGCCAAACAAACAACCCAAAGTCTTAAAGGATTATGTACCTTTTTACCCTGCTCTTAACTTTTAGATTTGACCTTGAATGTTGCTTTTGTTTTTACTTTCACCTAGCAATTTGAACTATTTAAAAAAAAATCAGAGGGAATACCTACCACTTCAGAGATATTATGAATGCTATTTAGACAATATTCTGAGATTCCTGAATAAAAGATTCTACTTAAATGCCAAATGCTCATTTTATCTAAAAATACAAATCTCTTCCAACTTTTTATTTTCAGAAGTCTGCAACTATTTAGAGGAAAAAAATCCACTGCAGTAAAAGCTTCCACAGTCTCAACATAATTTATAGCTTATTGTACAAGGAATAAAATCTAATGCACTAACATTATTTTAACATCTAGCTAATAGCTCATTTTCCTGAAAATTGGTTTGGTAGTATTTTAGTTCAGGAAGTTTGAGACTGTTCTCCACATCTTGTGAAGCATTTAGTTCCAGCAGGATTTTAAGAACTAAACTCACTGTGCTAAAGGTTGCAGAATCAAGTACATAATCTTTAAGAAAATGCACAGACACTCTTCTGGAACTGTTAAGTCCCCCTTGTGCACCTGCTATATCACAGTCTCTCTCAATATCAAGTCATTATGTGTGTATAGTGGATCAAAATCCAAACAGATTACTCTATATTTGTTTATAATGTGCACTCAGTAAAATTCCTGTAAATGAATGGCCTACTGCCTATCCATTAAGGACCATTACAAAATATATGATCAATCTGAATTAAGACTGTACATCAAATGTCAATTCTAGCACTTGACTTTCACAGATATGAAACTATGCATGTTGTGGCTTAATTGTATACAAAGTCTTTTTCTGTTTAAAAAACACAAATAGAAATTCCATCGGGTGGAAGCATACTGACCCCCTGTACGGGTCACCAGCAGGAATGGGATCTGGAGCTTTAGATCCATGGCACAGGCCTCTACCCCTTGAGCTAAAGGAGTAAATGAAAGCAGCAGGAGGCAGCTATCCTCTGTGAGCCAGCCAGTGGTTGGAGACATGACATGTTGCCAGTAGTTTACCTATTTATTTGCTAGACAGAAAAAGAATATTAGGAATCAGGATTTGGGAATCCTACACCTGAGTTCAGAAGGCCATGGAATTTAGCTATTTGCTGTACTATAGTTGAGTACTTGCACTTGAACATTAGTCCTGATAAACCAAGGGAAAAAGTGAACTCTAGGTATGGCATACTAAGGATACAGTATTTGCTTAATGAAACTTTTTTTTAAAGCTTGCTCTTTCTACAACCTCATCTACAAAACAAAGGCTACATCTTCCTGCCTCCTAAGAAATGAGTGAAGCCTTAATCAATAGAATTATTGTAATCACAGAATTATTCAAGTTTCTTTCCAGTTGGTTGCTAAACCTTAGTAGCTTTTAGACTAGTTTGTTTTGAAAGGCAGCACCTCACAATGTGCTCATACCCAAGTTTCCAATGGGGAGAAGGGTAACGGGAAGATGTATAACTATAAACCACGATGGCCCACAGAACTTTTAAAACATGGCTTTAAACTGGCTCAGCATACATATTTGTCTAAACTTTGCCATATTTTCAGGGAAAGAACAAAAACAACAAAAAGGGTTCTAACTCAATATATCCACTTGTCCAATTTCACGTTCCTGGTCTAAAACCCATTGCTATAAGAGCTCTTGAAACAAAGAGATGGGAACCTGTATTTAATTACATCAGCAAGACTACTTTCCTGCTAGCCACACTCAGGGAGTTGTTACCCAAGTTTCCCCAACAGAATTCTGCCCAAAGCAAGCAAACAGCAAAGAAGCAGAATTAGAAGAGCAAACTACTTTATAAGGTGAGTGAAGCTTAGCTGACTGTTCCTCTGCTGCTGTCAGTTCACCAGTCCTAAATGCCTTGACCTACTTTGATGACTTATGGAACTGAACCAGAAAATTTGGAAAGCCAACTTACATGAGTATGTTCATAAATACAGTTGTCAATAACATCTGCAAGAGTTGCTCCTTCATCCAACAGACCAATGGAGTAATTTGCATCCTCAAGAAATCCTTTCATCTCAGCCGTATTCCACAAAGCCGACAGTCATAAACCAAGAAACACAAGGGATGGGCTTCCAAGCCTTATATCCGGGTCCTTAAATTATGCAACAAACTGTACAAAGAAAACAAAAGTCAGTGGAAAACTAGGCACAAAGCATACTATGCCACTATTTAAAAATTAGAGCTTTCTACATCTGATGTCCTACAAACAGGAACACACACACCCTCTACAAAAAAATAAATATTTTTTTTACTCTGTTCACCCTCCATTTGCCAGGGATAAGGATAAGCCACATGCGCTTGGCTTTAAAATAGTAGAATTATTTTTCTAATTAGAAGTGTTGATAGAAACCAGAAGCATTAAAGCTGAAAGTCAAAAGCAGTTCATTAGTTAAGAAGAAAATTTTGGCTTCAAATGGTCACAAGGCCACAGTATTAATTCTGTCTCATGTTTCATCTACCACCTCCAGACAGTTAAAAAAATCCACAATTTGTAACACTAAGTTTGGTTAATGTTTTCAACAATATGAACAAAGTTACTTTTGCTCAAGCTAGTACTAAGATAACTAAGCAGCAGTTGCTCCTGCTTTTTATTACACCAAATAATGGGAAAGGAGCCAGCAGGGTTTTATGTGCTTTCTGCACAACTCAAACATGCCCCCTATGTTTCTTAAGGGAGGAATTTACTGCCAGGTGAATTGAACTTAGTGGCAGCAAGAATCTTCAGTTCTACTCAGAAGTTGAATGATAAAGACAAGTATGCTGGGTAAGAAATACTCGTCTCACAGGTATAATGAGTCATGTGGTTATTTAAGTGAATCCTGGGGATCCAAAACAATCACAAAAGAGCCAGATAATTATCACATTGATGTAAGGATTTAATTACAGTTACAAAAACAATGACTAGGTGGCAGACACTATAATAACAAGAAAAAATTCTTTAGACGGTCATATCTCAGTGTGAGAGCAACAGCTAAAATGCCTTAAAAATAAGACTACCAAACAAAAGACAAGCTTGTGAACTAAGTTTCACTTAGAATCAGTGAAACAAACATGAGCACCGCAGTCATGTTCATAAAATATCCATGATTTTCAGAGGTAGGTTTAGATACTTTTTTCCCCAGGAAAGAAAGGCTGGCATCAGCATTTTACTGATAATTTGGTAGAGCTCTGGAATATTCAAACCATGAAGATACAAAGAAGAAAAAAGCCTAACAGCAGAGTTTAATTATTTTACCTTTTTTTTTTTACTATGACCTAAACAGCCTAATGCTTAAAAACACTTTAGAGTACTTTATGCATTCTTAGGAACTTGTTGGTTGTGTAATAAACATATTAAACTTTCCTTCTACAAGAACAATAAAAACAATAAGAATTCTTTTGCTCTCTCCTTGCAAAAATAGTAATACCAAGGAGAGGAATAAGCACAACCATGGTGGACACACACAAGAGTGAAGTGATTTCTATTTTCAGCAGATTATGCAAAAAGTATGGATCTGTTAAACGTTCAAAACCCCCAAGTTTTTTAATCCTTTCATGACACAGAGCAGCATTAAAGAAAAATTTTCAAATATGTTTTCTGCTGCATCTAAACCTACAGGATTCTTTCCTCTCCCCATTCACACCTGACCAATATATATTCTAAGTATCTGTAACTTTTTGCATGTTAGAAGCCACTGGGCTGGGAGAAGCCTCACATCTCAGCTTTTCATTGTTGATATTCAAGTTGGACAATTTCTGTGTTTCTGATCTCTTACTAATAAGCTCTCAATTCCCCAATACATTGTACAAACCTGTCAAAAAGTCTGCAAGGAAAATTAAAGTATTTTAAGGAATTACTTTATATACAAGGGTGCTACTCAGCTAATTTTTTTTTTTAATGCTACAAGCCACTCCCTACTTTCTAAAGTGTACAGACAGACAAGAGTCCCTTCCACCCTGATCTACCTTACTGGAAGGTCTCAGTGGAACCAATCACAGCACTGAATAGATTTTCAGGCTCACCAGACACCCATCCACCCAGCAGGCTAATTGTTTGTACCTTGTATTTCAAATCAAGCAGCTCAACCTAAGCAACTGCACACTTTTCCTCTGGGTGTTCATCTGAGTTACAGTGGAATAGATTTAAGCTAATTATGTAGTATTCTTAAAAGAAAGCTTTTTTTCATAGTTAATGACTGTGGTGTCTATAGCTTTCAGACAGAGATGGTGTAGAAGAATACTCTCCTCCAAAAGCTGCCCTTTTACTTTTGGGGACACCGTGTGGTGAGGAGGGGGAGAATTGGTTTAAGTAAAGCATAGGGAGAGGAGGCTCTTTACCACTAACTCACCAAATCCAAAAACAACAAAAAGAACACTTATCTAGTAAGTCAGTTTGGATGAAGATTATTTCCTAAACCAGACTTGTCTCCTATTCATTCATCCAAAAGCATCTTAAGGGTCAAGAGTCAGGGACCAAAAGGAATATATGCTAGTAGAAATTTAATTAAATAACTTGCAACAAACCATCAACAACTGGTATAACCTCTCCCAAGCTGCTCAATGGCAATTGTTTTTTCTAAGCACATTCAAGACATAGAAGCTTTTCCATTTAGCAAAATTAATATAGTAAAAAAGCTAACATTAGCCTAATGACTACTATCCAATTTCCCCCTTCTGGAAGAAATTACATTGTCTTGTTGAGAACAGGGCAGGAAGAATATTGTACAAACAAAAAACAAATTCCTAGGAGCACTGCTACAGCACCACTACAAAAGAGTGGATATTTGAGAAATGGTTTTTTTTAGGGGTTAATACCTTACAGCACAATTTGGGACTGTGCTGTCATCTCGTTCTGTTCTGACTGGCACCCCTCCTTAAGGGGAGGGAGGAGAATCAGTGATAAAATTTGCAGAAGAAAATCTAAAGGGTGGTTTAGGACTTTTTTTTATGTCTGTAAGATGAGTCAGAAATCATTACAGTACAGAGTTCAGTCCTTGCTGGAAGTGCTGACTTGCTGCAAGTCATTATTTGACAGACTTGGTGTGGTAACACCACCCATTTTCGCACCTGAAATGTCAGTCTGCACAGTGCTCCAGGACATATATTTTAAGGCAAACAAAAGCTGTCAAGTGGTATGAGACTTCTACACAGGCATGTAATTGCTTTCTTTGAAGTAAGCGTTACATCCTCAGGCTCTTTATGGTTTAACACAATGAATTCCCAGATGAAGAACTCTTAAGATAAAAGTGTACATATTTAAACACTGCAATTAACGCAGACATCTGGAATAAAACAAAATGAAAATGCTCTGAAAATAGACTAAACACATGCTTGTCATATGCAAGCATCCATAACACATAACACATACAATTTTCTTTTTTTCTTTACATTGTCAGAACTACATACTCTTCGGCCTAAAAAACACAAAAAAAATCCCAAACACCCTTAGGTTTGTTTCTTTCATTAAAAATTTCCTCTGCAAATGACAAAGTCTCTGCATACCAAACAGGCTCTCAGTAATGCCTTTCAACTCCATGTCTTATTAAACAAAATAAATATTTACGAGATTAACAATTATACCAATGTAAAAATCATAGAGAGGTAAAAATACATTAACCTCACATTCATTACAATACCAGTTCTTCAGGGGTAACAGATCAAAGAAGAAGCAGCATTTTGTCACTGACACTGGCAATTAAGTACAGAACAGGTAAACTAGAAAAGTAAAAACATGAGTCCTACGTTCTCAGTGCAGGAAACGCCTATTTATAATGGGAGCATCTTTTTCAAAAAATATTCCAAGACGCCATTTCACAACTTGCATCCCTATAAGTCAGTTAGCTGAATGAAGCCACTGAGATCAACTGATGGAAATGCTGAAACAGGTGTCTTTTTGCATTACTCAAGTTACCTCTCAGTAGAAATCCACTGAGGGTCACAGAGTACCTGCACAGCTTAGGTTAGCTGCATCCTACCATTCTCTCAGGAGCATTCCACACAGTTAAACGAGCAATGTAACTGAGCAATTATGCTGAAGTAAGCAAGCAAAGGGGGTAGATACTAAAAAATAATGCCCCATCCTATATCTTCTATAGGAACCATGCTTTCAGGAACCTTCTGTATTCTTGAAGTTTGAATACGTTATTCAGGGCCAATAAGCTCACAAAGCTTACAAAAAATGAGTACTCTTGTACATACGTTTCCATGGTGTACCAGACCACCACTTCTCTTTCACAACAGTACAGTCACTTCCCTATCCTTTCCTCTTACTTGCTTAGTCAGTATTAGTATTTGACCTCCCCCACTGCACCCTAACACTCCAAACTCCCAGCTCTCCTGTTCCCCAATTGCCACCCAGCTCCATTTAAACAAAGTCAAGAGAGCTTTAAAGGTTAGCCAGTCCAGACAGCTACTGCTTCCACTTGGCTTGCTAATAGATCAGATTTCCATTGCTAATTCCCATCATTTCCGATAAACCAGATGTGGCAATACATAAAACAGACTTTTAAAGGAGCAAGACTTCAGGCCACAGTTGCTAGACTGCTCAGGGAGTCAGTGCATGAAGAGCAAGACAGAACTAAACCCCAAGTTCTTCCTCAGCCAGTGTAATACAAGGACAAGAGTGGGATAGAGAAAATTATAAAAAGGAAGCAAGATTAATGGGAATGTAAGTATACCTTCAGACAGAAGATTTTTATTTGAGTTCCATCAGAACATAACATTACAGTTGTATTTAAAAGTTCAATTGACCTTTCCCCCATTAAATTACTTTGCAATTTGAGCAAGACTCAAAAGTACCAATCTGATGGCTAACTTGCATCTTAGCTGTATTTGAGGCAATTACCTCTGCTTCAGCACACCAAAACAGGTACAGATTCCCTGACAAACACTACTGCTACCTACATCACCACTACCCTCAATACTGATCTACTCATATTTGTGTACAGTACATTATTACTGAACACATAATAGATCCAAGCTCAAAGTTAACACACGTCATCTCAGCATTCAGTTGCGAATACAGCAAATCCAGTGGCATTTCTGTTCTAGGACAAGCTACACCTTGCACTATTTGCCACAGCACATGACTACCAGTTAGAGAAGGAATATCTCAATGAAAGTATCAGAACAGTTTCTCTTCCAAGAGTAAAAACTTCTGTCAGACAAAAATCCCTCCAGATTAGTTTTATAAGTTAAAATGCATTTACAGTACATTAAGATTTTCAACTTTATTCACTCCTTTCTAACAATTCTTCTGCCTTTGCTATCTAACTACTTGACTTTATTCCTGTTGAAGTGCAAAATGTCATGCAAGAGTTCTACCCACACACAAGAGCAAGCCAAAACTCAGAAGCTGAACAGGAGAAAAAAATTTCTCAATATTTTGCTTATAAAAATCACACCTAAAAATTAACAGTGACATTCAGAAAATTTTCAGTGTTAACTGAATTCACTTGAATAGAGTATTTGACTAAAACCAACCAGATATATGCAGTTAATTCAGTAAGTTCCAAACAAAACAAAAGGAATATACCCTCTGGAGATAAACCAAAAAGTCATGATAAACCAAGCTCATCCTGTACCTCTGCTATTGCGGTTTTTTTCAAAGAGCAAGTTTATCTACATTAAGTACATTATTAGGAGGCATACTAACACAACTGGCATTTGGAATCCTTGTGGTCTGTAAAAAAAGTACCTGGCCCAGTAAGATGTACTTAACCATCCTCAAATTCTACATTAAAAAGCATTATATAATTTATGGGTACTAAGCCAAATGAAAACGCCTTCAGCTAGACAAGAAAAAAAGTAATACTGTACAAATATTGTAAAGTCAGCTTAACTCAAATATTACAAATGCATTTAAGACTATTGTTAAAAACTACATAAAGCTATTTTAACTTAACAGAACATGACAACCACACACATTCCGAAGTCTTCCGTGCTCCTTAAGATCAGCTAAGTGAACTCATTTGTTTTCGGTTATCATGGTCTGGTTCTTCCTTAATAACTATTTGCCACTTCAAAATATACAGGCATTTGTAATCGGTACACAGTTTCCATCCAACTCTAATTTACACATTCTATTATAGCTCAACTACAACTATTTGTGAAAGTGGATGCTAATTAGCAAATAATAGAGATAAGCACTTGGGAAGGCACACCCTTCATGATCAGCATTTGTTTACATGAGCAAATTTTAACTATTTCAGTATAAACTACCCTGAGAAATCATACTGTCTTCAGCAAGTCATAATTTGATGTTAACAGTCAAACAGTCCAATTCATTACTTCAGAATTACCACTGAGAGACCGAACTTACAGCACTTCATTTTAGGATTTCTGCAGCCAACAGCCCAAATTCAGAAAAGTAACTCTATTCACCTAGTTTACTCACATATGGTTAAGTCTCTCAGAACTTTATCAGATAATTATATCAAGAAAAGTGTTAGATTAATAAAATTTATAGTCTCCCACCAAATGAAAGTCCCATGTAATTTTGATAATCTACATCCAGACAGTTATCTTGCTTACCAAAAAGCCAATACAAGCTGTATTTTTGGAAGTGCTTATCCTCCCTGCATACAGACAAAGAGAGACTTACATGGACAAGTTAGGAGATGGAACCCTACTATCATCAGCTAGGTTCCCAAGGTGGCTCAGCGTTGAAGTCGAACTGTTCTCTATAAAGCACTTCTCCTAAGCCCTCTGGATAGTTGTAAACTTGATCAGAGATTTTGCCCTGTAGGAAAAAAAATGCACACAAAAATAAAGTTCACAGCTGGAACAGAATAAAAGCTTTATCTTAAAACATGTAACAAATGCCTTATCAGTGCTTTTAAGAAGGCTTGCAACACCCCATCATGAAAGTTTATAATCATATCAAGCATACAGTTTTCAAGAGTGAATGTAAACTCTGAGCCACAACAAGTCAGATGTACTAAGACCTGCTAAAACACATGAAACTGCTTGTTTGTACTAATCTTTCACAGTCTGAACTGGAAAATTTTCAAAATTAATGGCAAAGAGATCCCACTATAGGGTAGTACATCTTAATACTGGACTATCCTCCCACAAGTGCTTTTAACCCTATAACCACTGCATACTTCCCCTCCCCACTTCAGTCCTATTTCAGAATTCCCTTGCCACGTTCTTTCTCCCTCTGCTGTGAATGAACACAGCATGTGGGTGAAAAAGCTATGTGGGTGAAAAATAGTGCTTTATATAGTGAAACTGAACACCACACAGACTAATCCAGAAACGAGCGAGACCATTAGAAGAAAGAAACTTATGCTTGCCTTCAGGAATGAGGAAACCTTTCAGCTGGCCCTTAAACAACACACAACACCACACCAAAGCAGCATTTTAAAGTACAAGGCTAGCTCATTCAAATTCAGGTAAAGCAATCACACAAATATGAACATAAAAAGGAAATTAATTATTAACCCTGTTGAGAAGTTATTCCTCCTAAAAGGAAAGATGATTTTAATGGAATTAAATACACTACCAAACTGGTCAAACCCAGCATACAACAAAGTTTCTACAAATTCACTGTGGTATAAAGCATGAAACATGGAATGTACCAATCTACTGTAAAACTAAACTTTTGCTCATCTCATTATTTAAATACTACATGGACTTACTACAAAAACCTGACTTCTGGGAATCACCTGACCTAAATGATCATCTTTTCAACTGCATCGGTTAAGCAAACTGCTGAAGTGTATTTTTCCACTTATTCTTGCTCTTGGAAAACTAAACTAGCACACTCTATAAAGTACTGAATAACAAACAGAATTAATGCAACTTGAGGGTAACTCTCTCACAGCAACTCCATAGAGCAGTCCTTTCAGCTTTACCACATAAATTAGCATTTGGTAGCACACAGTATTAAAAATAAACCTCAATGCTTCAAAATTATTTGAGATATTAAAAAATTTTGCCAGCTAGAATTAATGTATATGCCTTTTATTCTTCTAAAGCAAGAGTTACTAAATGTTACTACATTTAGTTCTGAGTATGCACACAATGGTTTTACAAAAGGAAAGTGTTGCCAGCTTTTAAAATTAACTAAATAGCTCAACTATTTCCAGTGCTCTTCTGATTATACACAAGAATTTATATAAATTTTCCAATGATTGTGAATTATGTTTACCTTCCAAGCCAAACAAGTCATTAAACACAGGTGCTTCTAGGAAGAGCACATGACCTTCAGTGCAAAACTTAAGAAGCCATGCTTTAGCCAAATATCACCTGCAGTATTATTCCAATAAATATTCTCACATGTTCCAAGGAGAAAAGTGTGCAGTGAAAGCTCCTGTGGAGCTGGAATGAAAACCAACCATTTTCTGCAGCAACAGACAACTATGAGCTGTGCTGAGTTCTAATTGCCCTTCAGAATTTCTTTTAAATGAGAATTACCTATCTAAAGGATCTACACAAACATATACAAAATAGTCTGACTGCTCTCTTTTGTGCAGGTTTGCCAATTCTAAACATTCAGAGAAAAATAGTGCAATTTGAGCCTTTCCAATCAGAGTCATTTCAGTCTGCTTAAACCAGCACAAAGAGGGAGTTTGCTGCACTGTGGCAGAGCAGGGCTACCATTTTAAGTACCAGAAGTGTATTAGATGCCCATAACCCATAAGGACAAAGCCAGCTTTACAAGAATTGCATGTCATCAGCAACAATGAAGCATCCATTGCTTAAGGGTCTTAAAGTAGGTATAAAAGCATTCTTTGCTAAGCAGTGAGCTTTGAGTTGTAGGAATAATCAGCAAGGCAGCTCTGCCTTTTAATACTCAAGTGACACCTACATGCATGTATTTATCTATCATGTTAGTATACTCTACTAGCAAGCGCCTCAAGTTTGACTACACCCCAAGCAACAACAACTGTAGTAACCAAGGAAACCCAAGGAAAAAAAAATCACCTCCCATTGTCCACAGTGTATAGTTTTGCCAGAACAACTGCATCCCCACAGCAAGCCCTGAGTATCCAAGAGGCCAGTTAGGGCCAGGCTTTTTCCAGTTCACAGGCCCACTCAGCCCCCCTTATCTGATGCTGACCAGCCTGTGAAACCAGGCATCAATTCATTTTCTTTGAAAAAAAAACGATCACTGCATCCGTTTCTGAAAAAGAGACCCTTTAGTGGCCTGAGCTAAAATATCCATGAACCCAACCCTAAAAATCTAGAATTATGATGACCTTTCACATTCACAGCAAGTGACAGACTTGGAGGCAACAAAGTTACTCTGGTCCACAAAAAAACCAAACCAGGTATTTTTGAGTTACAGTAAGCCTTTTCCAGATCAGGGACAGGACATTGTGGCTAGGCAATCCCCAGGGGGGAGCAGGTCCTGAAGGAAGAAGAGGTCCCCGAGGAATTCTCATCAACCACCCTTTTGCTCCTGCACTACATCAACATTATTTAGAACTAAAATTTACCATTATACTCAAATTAGCGCATCACACAATTAAGCCTCGCTTTCAGGAAGGGACAGTCTTAGTTCTCTTCCAGAGCACTCTGTCTCTCCTTTAATTGGAGAGATGGAATCATTTCCAGAGCATACAGCCCAGCATTGCTGCAATGACACACCTGCAGCAGCCTTCCAGCACAGGGAACAAACAGCGAGAGGCACAGGCTGCTGGCCCGGGGGCAGGCTGCAGTGCTGAAAGGCAAGCCTGCCTCTTGCCTCCAGTAAAACTGTCCCCAAAGGAGAAACATTCCCACTGCTGTTCACCACCAAACACCACCCTTCCCCTCCAAGAGCTCCCCCACTCCCCCCTTTTTCTGTGATTTCACAATCTTTCCCTGGAGCTGAAAGCCCAGCAGGAGGGATGGGGGGCAGCAGGCTGGCTGGCTGCAGGGGGGTCTCAGCCCACAGCAGGCAGAGCAGGCAGGGAAGAGAGCTCACCACAGCCTGAGGCACACGGGGAGGGGGCTGCCTTGTCACAAGCATCAGCCACAGCAGCAGCAGCATTGTTCACACGGTGACAGGAAGGAAAGAACTAGACTGGACCAGTCCAGACTGGAACAAACCCCTCCTACCATCACCATTATTCACAACCCCCACCTCTTCCCCAGCTCCACTGCCTCCCACGTTTATCCAGGGAAGAATAGTGGGCAAGTGCAATATCCTCGGAGACAAAAATCCAGCAGCCAGGGAGGGCAGAAGAAGTAGGACAGGTCTCCCCTGCAACCCACTGCCATGCAAGACACACAGTCACACATCTGACTAGGTGTGTAGCAAGGTCTACGTTGCTTTATTGGACGTCACACGGTGTTTTCATTTAGGGTGGCTATAACCGACTGGGACTACACAATCAAATCCTGCTCAGTCACCAGAGACGGCTGCAGAGGTCTGAAACGCAGCACTTCTCCTGCCTACGGGCATGTCAGCTGTGCAGGATTTTGCACTGCAGGAGATGCACTTCAGAGAGGCTTGAAAGATGATTCAAGCTCACTTTCTTTTCACCACAACCAGGTTCCCCCCAGCACAGATATACATCTTCTTGGGCTTGGAATAAGCCCAGACTGATGACTGAGAAAGACCTGCAGTGCTCTTTAGTACAGAGCATTCTCCTCAGCCATGCCACCTGCCCCATGATCCTGCACTTGCACCATCCCCCTTACCCATGCATGAGTCCCCCAGTCTCTCATGGTGCTTTTGGCTTCCCTACCACCAGGAACATACACATCTGCTGATCTGTCAGCACTATAACCAATTATGGATACCTCTTCTGAGCTCTTACCAAGCAGGGAACAGCACTGCAGCAAGCACACACACACGCTACTCAGGATACCCCACTATCCAGTGCACACACTCTAGATATACACAGAGCCAGCAGCTGAGCAATGACTGGACTCTTCTCTATACTTTCCAAAAGCCACTGGTACAGCAGTGGCCAACTGGACGACAAAGCGCTGGCAGAAGCAGCCAAGCCAAGGAGGTTGAGGCTCAACTAAGAGACCTCTCGGACTGGCGGCACCAAACCTGCTGCTGCTACACTAACAGACTGACCAAGGGAAGGGGGAAAGCCCTTGAGATGACCAGCAAACACCCCTGGCAAACGCAGGAGACTGCTAACTGGAGGGAAGGGCTCCACTTTCACATGCCGGGAGACCCCACAGACCCTCTGAGTGAAGGCGACTTGTCCCATCATCCCAGCGTCTGTCCCGGAAAGCGTCACTTGCGCAATGGCCTTACAACTTGCGCGGTGCCCTGACAGCTCCTTGGCTGCCACCCTGGTCTTTGGCGTGCCCCCTTGTCCCCCAGTGCCGAGGGGGACAGGTGAGGCCTCGTGCAGGCGCAGCTCAGGTGAGGGGGGAAGCGGAGGACGGCAGCGGGAGCCCGGATGGATAATCTCGCTTACAGAAGCACAACATGGCCCCTGAGAAGCAGGCGAGGAGACGCCGCAGCCATGCCACCAGCACCTCTCCAGCCTATGCCCTCGTCACCCACCGCAGCGCTGAAGCCCGTCACACACACGGCCGCTCTCCCCAGGCCCAGGGGAGCTTCCAGCGTGCGGGTCATCCGCGGGGAAGGGACCCGCCGGCACCCGGGCCGCAGCCTGCGCTCCCCAGCCCGAGCAGCTGCCACAGGGCACCGGGGACCGGGCAGCCCCCTCCCTGAGGGGTTCAGGCGAGGACGCCCCTCGATCCCCTTCCCAGGCAGGGGCGCCCTGCGAGCGGCAGCAGTACCCGGCGGGCGCGGGTCTCCCGCCGCGGGTACTGCCCCGACTGTGAGGGGGAAGACACCGCGCAGCCCCCCTCCGCAGGAATCCGCCATGTTAGGGCGGCCGCCGAGCCCCCGCTGCCCGCGGAGCCGGCGACCCCGCCGGCCTCCCGCGTCCCGGGGGCTGTGGGAGAAGGGGGCCGGCGGCGCCGCCGCAGCGCTCGCCCCGGTGCCCGGCCCCCGCTGCTACCCCGGCGCCGCTCGCACGCAGCGCTGTCCGCCATGTTAGCGCGCCGGCCGCTGACCCTCCGCCCGCCGCCAACGACACCCTCCGGGGCGCGGGGGTCCCGCTGTCCGCCCGCTCGGCCCCCGCACTGCGGTCCCGCACGCCCGGCGCTCCGTGGGACAGGGGGAGCTCCGGCTCTGACTCATCCTGCCGCTCTCCATCTGCTGCCGCCGGTCGCAGCCGGTCTTGCCACACGCCGCCGGGCGGAGAAAGGGCAGCTGCAGGAACCGGCCCCATCCCCAGCCCTCCCCGCCAGGCACCGCCGAGGCGGCAGTGCTACCCTCCGGGCGCCCCTCTGCCCTCCCCGGGCGCCACGGCCACCGTTCCCCTTCCCTCCCTGCACTGCCCCCAACCCCAGGTCGCGGGCAGGGGAAAGCCCCTGTCCCTCCCCCCAGTCGCCGCTGTCCAGGGACGCCCCCGCCCGCTCCGGAGCTCAGGGTGGGCGTCGCCGCCGCCCCCTCCCACCCGCCACCTCCCCCGCGGCCGGCGAGAGCCCCGGGACCCCCGCTCCGGTACTCACGTGAGATAACGGCCCGAAAGATTTGGTAAATCGTCTTCTCTTTTTAGGCGGAATTTTTAAAGAGGGATGTGGGAACCTACAGCAGAAATACAGGCGGCGGCAGCGGCGCCTTCCAGGGCCATAGGCTGCGGGGGCGACCGGCGGGGAAAGCGCAGCGCGGCGCTGGGACTGGAGGGCACAGGCGGAGAGAGACAGAACCGGAGCGGGCCGGGGGCTGCGGCAGCGGCGGGCGGAGGCGGGAGCGCGGCCGGCGAGCGGCGAACGAGCGGCGAGACAGGGCGAGGAGAAGGGGACGGCGCCGGCAGCGCTTTTATAGAGCAGGGGGGCGAGGCGGGACCAGCGACAGCGTCACCGCATCGGGGGCGGGACCCGCCACCGCCCCTCGCGGCCGCCGGGGCGCGATGGGCGCGGGGTGCGACGGCCCCGCGGGGCAGATGTGGGTCTCCGGCGAGGCTCTTGGGTCCTCGGCGGGCGGCTCGGCTCGGCCCGGCCGGCACCGAGGCTGATGCAGGAGCGGCCAGGTCTTTGGGGAGTTCCTGACAGAAGGCGGGGCAGCGACACCGCTGGCGTCCCCTCAGGATCCCAGACAGGCGGTTACCCACACGTGTCTTCATAGGGCATCTGGGGTCTGCTTCTGTCATGACTTCCACAAACCAGAGACCCATCCTGTGTGGCTTTGAGCAGGTGTGAAAAGAACCCAAGGCTTAATGGCCAGCCAGAAACCTCCTTCACAGAGTTAACAGCTCGCCCTGGTCACCTGGGTATTGATAAGCTGCTCATAATGCTCACCCGAGCAGACTAATCATGCCCCATAGCTGGCACCCTCAGTCTGCCAGCAATTTCAGGCCTTCAAGAGCCTTGTATGTAAATACATGAACGGAAGGATTTACCTGACCCTTATGATTCACACACAGTTTAACTGAAGCTCTGGAATGTCTTCAGCTCACCTCAAAGCCTTTAGTTCTTTCTCAACACCCTTGCGAGGAAGCGCTGCTCAGCTGCAAGTGGAAAAGAGCCATTTGGAGATGAGGTACCTCAGTTAAAGGTCACAAAACTGTTCCATAGTGGAGCTGAGGATGAACCCTGATCTGCCAGCATGGCTCTGCTGTGTCAATTTTACCAAATCACACAGAGATGCTTTTTTAAAAGCTCATTCCAATAATCACAATTCTTTCCAAACACTAAAATATGTAGTTATGCAGTTCACTGAGACCCACCAAAAGATATACTTGTTCTGAAAAGTACTTCTTCCTCTCAGGGCACATTTATTTTCTTTTTAAAAGGTATGTTAGTACAGTTAGGATATTTTTTTCCAAAGGAAATTTGGGTTTGTTTAGTTTTATAGCAGAGAGATTTTAGAAAAGAGATGACACACCGGTCATCTCTTTAGAAAAAAACGGGACTGAGGTACCACAAGAGAAAGGATGGAGTTTGTTTACTCTTTTCATCTGCTAGCACCTTCTGTTTAGCAAATAATTTTAAATGAGGAGGAAGTGAACTGACAAATATATGCAGTCTCATTACAGTGCCTCTTCTTTCCTGATAACAATGCTAGTGAGTTATGGATGCAGTCAGTAAAAGCAGGCACATTGATTAGGAAGTCAGAAGACCCCTTCCATACATTTTCAACAAATACTGTATTGAGGACTAAAAATGGAGTGGTTTACACTGCTGGTTTTTTGGGTGTGTTCAGTATCACATCCTTCATAGGTGACTTATCTGTTTGTTTGAGCTCCTATTTCAGAATACAAGTGGAGGAGGAGTCATCAGATTATATTAAAACAACAACAACAACAACGAACTCCACAACCCCAAACAAAAAACAAAAATAAACAAACAAAACAAACACATACACCTCAAAACCAAAACAAACCCAAGCCAGAAAAAGCTGTAGAGAGATAGGAAGAGAAATTTAGGCAGAGCTTGGTCATGGCACAATAAATGTGAATCATTAACAGGCAAAGAAAGGAGGAAGGGATAGAGGGGAGGACAAAGGTTGCAGTGATATATACAGAGGAGCAATCCAGAAAGCTATATTCTTTGGGAAGGTAGATTTTTCAAAACACATCTTTGGAAGGGATATAAACTAGGGAAAGGATTTGACTAGTTTGGAGGTGTTACTATGTATTATATCTATATTCTTAGATATCTCTTGATGGTAATATCTGAAGATATCCCAGTGATATATGAGTGATCTAAATGGCACATCAGTTACTGCCACCTCATCTACATTCATCTTCCCAGAAGAGTTTTTGTTTTGTGGTAGGTAGGGGATGTTTTTAATATTCTTACTGGGAGTTAGAAAACAGATGGACTATTTAAGAGAAGAGGACAGTCACGTAGGACAGGAAAAAGAACTTCAGTCTGATATGCAATTAACTGGAGGCAGTGTCAACTCTTTTAAAAATGTATGGAGGGAGGGAGGATTTCCTGCTCATGGAGGAAGTAACACTTGAAAACAGAAACATAAACTCCATCCTCTCAAATCTACTGGAAAAAAAAAGAGTGGCACACTGTTTGGAAGAGTACAAGACTGAACGGTGTAGTTACTTTATACAAAATAGGAAAAAATGATGGATGAATTCTTTATACAGTGTTTCTGCTACCACAGGTATATTAATGCAGAACCACAAAACTGATGCCACAGCTCAATGTATATATATTTAGTACAGTGCTACACAAAACAGCAGTCCTGTTTCATCTGGAGAGGCAAAATGTAAAAAAGCTAACATGAAATTTCCTTCTGCCTCATTTCTCTCAGTTTTAATATTTGGATTTCTAACCTTGTATGGCTCCATATCCACATTTTGTAGATTACTAGAGTAACAATTCCCATTTTCTGCTCCAAAGATAGAAAAGCAGCAGAGCACAAAATGCATCTCCAGCTCTGAGTTCCCCTTACTTCCAATTGTGAGGCACTTCTACCACATTTTGGATTTTTTTTTGCCTCCACGCTTTTTTTTTTTCAGCATGGTTCACAGTTGGATGTAGACAAAATCAGGTGTTATCCCTCTGACGCAGATAAACTGGAGCAGGAAAGACACCCTTCCCCCCCTCCTCTTTTGGAGTGCAAAAAACACTCGCTAGTGAGGCAACCCCGTGGTCAGGAGTTCCAGATGTCTAAAGGCTGCACAGACCAATGACCTTCCCTGCTGATCCCAAGTATTTCCTTCCCTTTATGTCTTCCTAAGGGCTACCTTTTTCTTCTCTGGTTCTTCAATTTCCTCTCCCTCTCAGATGCACCCTCTATCACCAGACATCAGCAGCGGAGTCAGATTCCGCTCCTGCAGTGAGAGAATGAGATTATTTCCTCCTCCATCTCCTCTTCCTCTTCCCCTACTGCTGCCAACTCTTGCAGTGGTTAGTGTTTTTTCTTAAAGCCTCAGGTGCAGGAATTATGTGATTACACAAGAATTTCATCTTCCATTGAGAATAAAATGTTCCTAGCTACTGAAAACTCAGCACAACAGAAGAGAAGTACAAATAATGATCCACCTTCTGATGTAGGGAAAAGGCTGCTTCAGTTTCTGAATGCTTGAACTCCTTTTATTAAAAGGAGCCCTGTTCTGGCTCCTGTTACATGCAGTGGCACTCGGTATATTAACTATACCTGTGCTAACACTGAGTACAGTGTACTCTCTAGCCATCCAGCTGCGGCACTCGGCTGTTGGGGTGGGAGGAAAGAATCAGTCCAAACCACATTTTTGTCTGTGCAGCTCAGGGCAGGAATGGCTGTGCAAAGGGCAGAGGCACAACAAAAGGAAATGAAGGCTGTGACAGCTCTGGATCTCTCATGCCCACAATGCCATAGAAATGCTAGAACTCCAGTAGTCCCTCTTTTTAGTAAAATGACCTGTATAAGTAAGACCTTGTAGAAGTAGAACCAATTGATACTCTGATCTTCAGACCTTTTTCATCACTGCACACTTGGAAGCTACGACTGCTCCACGCCAGTTGACAGAAATGCTGATAACCGACTGGAGGATGATTCAGAATTATTAAAAGCTCAGAGGTGACGGGAGGAAAGACATCTCTGCCTTAACTCACAGGGACCAGTCACCTCTCACCTATATTTACTCACTGGTTTGCTGGATCAAAACAACTGGGGTAGAAATAAGGCTCCAGCTTACTAGTGTAGATTCCTTTTATTTCAGAAGAATGTAATTTCTAGGGAGAATAGTTACAGACTAGATCTCATACTCATGCCAAGTTGTTTACATGAAGTTAGTGGTAATATCAGCTCAAAATACTTCATAAAGACATCACAAGTAAGTAAAATTTAATTGAGATTGTTTTACAAAGTCAAAGAAAAAGGAGGAAAGAGCAAGAGAAAAGTCAGTCTTGGTTTAGAAGTATCCAACAATATACCATAAGCTGATTTCAGTCCAATGCTAGAATGATTTCACCTCCAAAAAATCTAGACTGGACTGGCAGAAACTAAAAGAACTGTGAAGAAATGTCTGTTGTGGTTCAGCCTCAGCCAGCCACCAAGCCCCATGCAACCGCTCACTCATTCCCCCACTAGTTGGACTGGGGAGAGAATCAGAAGTGTAGAAAACTCATGGGTTGAGATAAAGACAGTCTAATAGGAAAAGCAAAAGCCACACATACAAGCAAATCAAAACAAGGAATTAAATCACTGTGTCCCATGGGCAGGCAGGTGTTCAGCCATCTCCAGGAGAGCAGGGACCCAACATGTATAAGAGCTACTTGGGAAGATAAATGCCATCACTCCAGATATCTCCCTCTTCCTCTTTCTTCCCCCCACTTTATACACTGACCATGATGTAATATGATATGGAATATCCTTTTGGTCAGTTTGAATCACATGTCCTGGTTGTGTCTCCTCTCAACCTCCCATGCACCCACAACTTCCTCGCCAGCATGGCAGTAGGAAAAGCAGAAAAGGCCCTGGCTCTGTGGAAGCACTGTTCAGCAATAACAAAAGCATCACTATATTACTAACCTTGTGTTCAGCACAAATCCAAAACACAGTCCCATACCAGCCACTGTGGAGAAAATTAACTCTACCCCAGCCAAAAGCAGCACAATACCCAAGCTACTAAATAAGGTCTATTTAAGAGAATATTCATCTATGAGCATTACTTGAGAGTCTATCTACCCGCATGCCTACTACACATTAGCTAGTAAAGAAAACTCAAAAGTTTTATGTATCTGCAACAGGATATGGACTTTTAGGAAATGTGCCCAAATTCAGTTCAGGTTAGAAATTACTTGGGCTCTTTATGCGATAAATATTGAGTTGTGTATTAATTACACCCAT